CAAGTCAATCAGGGTTCTCGTTCGCCTCCTAAATGCTACTTCACAATATTAAATGTAACCACGATTCGGCTCCATTGTGGCGATGGAAAATTCACCTTCCTTCACTCCTCACTTTTGTTTTATTTTATCATCTCTAAGAGCAACACATTGTCCAGCTTAAAAAACTTTTTCAGTTAGAAGCTTTGTGAAAGTTCCCCCCCCCCCCCCCCCCATGTGTCAAGATTCTATATTAACTGCTATGCAAACGATCTACTGTGACTCTCTCCATAGCCACTCTCATTAGACTTAACACATTCACTGGCGCTAAAAATTTGATGAACACCCCCTAAAACCGAGAAGCTATTTTGTGATGTGTCAGAAAGACTCTTTAAAAATATTTCTTTATATTTTCAGATGTCAGATTGACAGATTTCATTGACATTTTGACATGACACATGGGTTGCGTCATCGGCCTGGCTCAAAAGTTTTGCCCTAGAAAAGTCGGTGACGCAACAGGTGCGTCACTGGAAATGATGAACCGAAGTTAATATTCGCGTTAATCTTTGCTGGTGAATTAGAACTTAAATTCAAATAGAATAATCGGCAGATTACATGCGATCTTTCAAGCCTGAAGCAACTCTACACGGTGATTCTCACTTACTTCTCACTTTTCTCTTGTAACCAGCAAAGGCTCTAAAAGCTGAACCTCTAAATGCTTTAGTTCTAAAGGCTCTAACTCTAATTGCTTTTTTGAATGTTTAAAAGCTCTGTCCACAAGCGTTAACTCTAAAATGTTCTGTACAACCTCAATATTGAAACTTCTTCTCTAAAAGAGAGATGTAAGATAAAAATCATTTTCTATAGCACAAGGTTTAACGTTATACTCAATTGTGGTAGTTCCAAAAAAGATCTACCAGATGAACCGAAGCTAATATTTACGTTAATCTTTGCGTGTGAATTAGAATTTAAATTCAAATAGAATAATCGCCAGATTACATGCGGTCGTTTCGTCGAAACGAATTTGCCTGCTGGTTTCGTATTACATCCACGTCGCGCCACCAATCCCTGTCTAATTAGTTCGATTTGGAATGAGTCAACGAGCAGGATTATATTCCGACTGTTTCAAATGCGATATGACGTCTGCGGCTCCTGAGGTGTCGAATCTCGGTATCCGATTAACATATTAATATGAACCAGATGATTAAGTTCGGCGAGCGGCCATCGAAAAAATTGCGCCAAATTTAGATTAAGAAAGACTTTCATTTGCTAAATCACTAAAGTCGTACCTAAGTTACTCTGGTTGGTACCTAAATTTAGGTGCCTGATTCGGACAACGTGACGCTCACCTAGCTATATCCAACTTCAAAATGGTGTCAAGAATGTTTGAGGAAACGGGGTTGAACTGGAGTTCTAAACTCAAGAGCAAAATGACAACCTTCCACGCTAATTTAAGATAAAATCTTTTTTTTATATACAATTTTATGTCAAGATATCTCGATTCAAGCAAGGAAGCTTCAGCTAAGGTTGTAATATAAAAACTATAACTAAAAAAATATAAATAAATGGAGTCAAAACTGGGTTAAAAGTAGTTTAAATATTTATAGTATATATATTTTGTTAATTTTAATTATTAAGTTAGAATAAGTTGAATGATTGTTTTGGTAGGAGAATATGCTAAGAAGAAATTACGAGAGTCTGAGATGAAACAAAAGGCCACTGCTGCTCTAAATGATACTCACCTAGAAGGAGAAAACCTTGTTTTAAGGCTTTTCAACCACAAAATTTTGCGCTTCCCAGGACCTCTTTTGTCACAAATCTTTCCCAGGAGTATCAATTGAAGCAATATTCTAGTTTCCGATTTGAAATAATCTCCATATGTATTTCGGTCTCTTCTTGAAGAATTTTCAAAACTTTCTTGTTGGTACGTGGTCAACCCAGGAAGTTCTAAGAATTCTTCTGTATATCCACTTCTAGAAATCTTCAAGTTTATCGATTGACGCTTCCGTTAGTATCCAGAACTTGGCACCTACAAGAGCACTTTCCGCCACGTTTCCCTTAAATAGTCTTAATTTGGTTTGTCAGTGAACGTTTTTACTTAGTAAACTAGTCTTTAAGTAGATTTCCTTCTCTAATAAAAGATACTTTTGCTTTTTCTGTGCAGCCTTTTATTTGTATAGAATGGTGCCATTGCTCATTTAAAGTGGTACCTACATAGGTGTAATGAGTTACTCTTCCGATTGGTTAGTTTAAAATTTAGAGCGAACCAAATAAAAACTACATATTGAAAAAAGGCAGCAATACATTAAAAAAATTACAAAATTACAAAATTTTGGAAATAAATGGTAATCTTCGAAATATTTCAGGTCAATCTGACCTGCAATTCAAAACATAAGGAGGTTTTCAGTCTGGTCGTTCATTAAATTTTGTGCGTTTGTGTTAAACAACAATGAACTACGACTCTGTGATCAAATATAGAGCATCGTAATTAATAGAGCAGTTATTTAAGATATACTTTGTTATTGTAGACACGGGAGAGGCAGAGGATAAGAGAAGAAAACGAAAATAATAAGAAAATATAAGTTAAGAATATTAATTTATTTTTGTTGTTCTATTTTCTAATTTCTATCTATGGATCTAACTATTTGCAGTGATCAAATATAGAGCATCGTAATTAATAGAGCAGTTATTTAAGATATACTTTGTTATTGTAGACACAGGAGAGGCAGAGGATAAGAGAAGAAAACGAAAATAATAAGAAAATATAAGTTAAGAATATTCATTTATTTTTGTTGTTCTATTTTCTAATTTCTATATATGGATCTAACTATTTGCAGTACTTTTGTGCAATGAAAAGTTTGTTCTAAAATTTTTCCGACCACAATTCGTCATACGGAACCATACTGAACCTTATATACGTCACTCAGCCCCTTCCTAAAATTTAGTCGTTGCCTGATTATTGTAACTTTAATGGCTGCGGGTTGGCGGGAATGGGCCCCAAATTAATTTAAACCATTGCCGGAGTATAAAACAAACGGCTCGTGGATCTCTCTCCGAAAACCAAGTAGCCGGAAACGTCCTTTTAGGAGGCGATTAATTTTCGAACGATAGTCGCCCTCAACCATCGGACCGTGAAATTCTAGATTCCGACCATAGATAAGATAAAAAGACAGGCATTGCTTCGACTCAACACTAAACGATAATCGGCCGACTGCGACGATAACATACGAAGCGAGAGCGTTTTTTTCCGCCGTATTCGTCGCGTGAGGAATTCCCGACAAGCGACGTTCCAATCGTTGGACGTTAACATAGGTTTGTTCCAAAGTCGTTAAGTCCAAAGGAGACGCGAAAATTTATTCACAAAATGAGGAGAAACATCTTCTTTTTCAGATAGTCTTTATTTGCTGCTTTTCTCACCATACCTGTTGTTGTTGCTTGGAAGCATTTTATTAGATTGTGAAGCCACAGGATTCTACTTTTGCCTGGACCCCGTTTTCCCCGGATGTACAGGATCAACTGTAAAAGACCTTACCGATGTTCACTGCGCACCACGTGACCTGCATATTCTATATAAGGGTTGTTGATGATCCTGTTCATCGAGGAGGTTATTGGTACTTTTCGGTAGCATCACCTTTAGAAAGCCGTCAGTTTCTTCATGGATGCTGCAGACAGCAGCAGAATTCTACTCCGCAAAGGAGCACTGTAAATACGTAATACCTTGGTAATCGAATCTTGGTCGTCAGTTTTAGATTGTGATTGTCTCTATTCCATGTTTAACTCGATTAAGTGGTCCCATTGCTTTCCAGGGACGACTCTTTTATTTCTCACCAACCACTGACCGGGACATACGTATTCCTTACTGATTTTCCATATTCAGATATCTCTCCATCGGTCCACCAGCATCAGGTATATTTTGAAAAGGGTCTATGGAATCTCTTCACTGGTCTCCGTTATACGTAAAATCAAAGGCTGGAGGCCTTCAGAGCTGTCAGCCAAAACAACATATTCACCAGATGCCCCAGCAGTGCCGTTTAATTGTAATAGATGATATTTATTATGCGGAGATCGTTCTCCTCTAGGTCTGCCGTCCTCAAAAGGTGGACGAATTTGTGGTGCTTATCTCAAGGCATACACATGGCAATTGACATATCTGCAGCGCTGAAACAAAACATGAATTGCAAAGAGAGCTTTTCTTGTCCCCGGAGTATCGTGAAACCCTTTCGGAATGTTTTTAAAGATGGCTCATTAGACTGATGATACTGTGGATGTGGAATTATACCCTTGCTGGCAGTCGGAGGCAATAAGTTCTGTCCAATTACTTAGTGTTTTTTACACATAAAAAACTTTATTAGGTCAGCAAAGTTGCTGTTTATGATAGTAATGACCATTTTGTTTGCTTTCTTTTTGGATGGTGGACGGCTTCATTTCCCGTCCAGTGTGGTATCAGAACGAATTGCTTTTTTCCATGATTTCTTATGATATTGTGAGATAGTTGCCCACATGTATTGTTAAGCACATAGCCGCAATGTAAGGCTTAATAAAAAAAATCATCTCCTAAGACAAAATTTACTTTCACTTTGAAATTTTTTCTACTCCGCGTAAATGTCATTGTCCAACGTGCAAAGTTGTCTGGTGCAACAGGCAAGAGTTCTAGAATATTTTAATATTGAGCTTGCCATATTTGGAAAACTCCTAGACCTAGAGGTTCAAGGAAAAAAAAGTGACTAAAGTGACAGTGACTGGAAATTGTAAAAATTATTTTGAAGCTATTCTCTTAAAAAACTTCAGTGGAAGGTGTGAAAAATTCTGCATTTAAAGGTTGGCCAATCATTCGTTCGGCATCGATCGTATTGCGGATTAAGTTTTAATCAACTCGGAAAATTGATTTTGCTGACTAATCCGTATTCGTGTTTCGCAGTGATAAAACAACTTTTCCCACTACTGCGCGTTCCCCAAAGTAAATAGGTTTATTGTTATCAGCGGCTATGGTTGTATACTCGAACGTGGCTCGTGTTGCATTTTGGCTGCCATCTCAGGTGCCACGAAATGATTTACGGAATTCTCGTCGTCGCTTTGGCGATCACTTTCAGCGAAAAAGCTGACGGTGAGTGACTCGAAGATCATATTTATCTAATTTTTCTTTGCAGTTTAACGATCCTTCATTTTTTTTATTACGTAGCAGGCGCACGAGATCCTAACCTCAACAATACGGCGGTCAACGCTACATCTTTGACGGTGCCGCCTCTGGTGGACAAGTTGGCGGAGATCGCGAGGCAGCGGTTGAAAAAGCTGAAAGTAGTGGAGGTGGTCGAGCCGTTCGTGGAGCTCAGCGAAGAGGCGTTTTTGATTGAGGTACCTCCGTTGGTTATAGACGAAGGGGATGATGAGGAGGAGGAACACAAAGATGACGTCGTCGATGCGAAAGAAGAAGATGAAAACGGTGTGAAACCCGCCTAAAACGTTGTCCATTGTTTCGGGTACAATCTTTTTGAATTGAGACTTTCGTCAACAAACCTTTGAGATAATAATATTTGCACAAGAGGTATGTAAATGTTAATGGGATTCGTTCGTTAGGAACATATGATGTGTGCATTTTTATTATATAGATTAATAAAATAAAGACTGTTTTTAATATTGTAAATATTTTATCCATTTAGCCCTAGACGCAATTGCTTACAAAATAATACCTGTTTTTATTATCAACGATTTTATGTTATTGTTAATTTAATTATAATATATAAGCATTTATATCAAAATGAAAATAAAAAATAACAAACACAAAAAATTAGCAACCTTGAAAAACATAAAATAAAGCTAACCGGTAAAATCAAAAAACGTTTTATTGCTTATACTTCGAAAACTTTTTATATTCGAAAACAAAAATTTTTCATTTCTATTCTAATGTTCCCAATATGACGTTATCCATCCAGAGGATATCCCTATGATGTATTTTACATATATATATATATATATATATATATATATATATATATATATATATATATATATATATATATATATATATATATATATATATATATATATATATATCACGGATGGAAAAATGTGATGACTATATTCCGGGATATCATCCGTTCGCTCGTTGAACTCCGACTGGAATCCTGCAAATCCTGCATCCGACTGGAATCCTGCAGACGTTTCGCCAAAATCTCACTTGGCATCTTCAATGCTCGCGCTCCGAAAACACCAGTGTTCGAAGTGTTTTCGGAGCGCTTAAAAGTGCGGACACATACGAGTGACATGGATGCGCGGCCTCTGAAAATGCCGAGTGATATTTTGGCGAATCGTCTTAAATGGGACATTGATCGGATATACTGTGGATATTGTTTGCTATCTGGGAAAGAAATTGGGCATGCTCATATGTCGGTCATAGGGGACTTGAGTTAATTAATAAAAAAAGCAGTCTTTGCTATAAACTTCGTACCAATTTCTGAAACGCCCTGTGTTTTAACGCACCAGGCAACTTATCGCGTCCATCTTAAGCGACCATTGCGTAAACAGTCAACGCATAGCCAGAAACATCATCGGCGCTAGCCTACAGGGTGAACCAACCGAAGCTTAGCGTTGTTTTACATCCGGGATAGCTGACGATATTGATTGGTGGCACACCCGGTATGTTTCGCGCAGATGGTGGGGCCTCGTTGACCTGGCGAACCCGCGCGTGTCCCGGCAAAGAAACTCCCGAATTAAATAGACGAAACGGGCAACAAAAAAAAAGAGGACTCGGAATATTTTTTAAAGCTGGTTTCTTGGAATTTCTTAACTGAACAGGTGCCGTTTTTATTGGTCTTTCGTGCTTTACTTTTGTCGTTATTTTAATTGTTGATACAGTTTTATATAGCGGGCAGGTGTTGAAATGACATCGAGGTGGAAAGTTGTCCCATTTGAAGACCTCGCAGAACCTCCGTTACAACGGACTTCGAATGGAAAATTAAAATCTACTAATCAATGTTCCTAACTTAAGGCAAACTCACTTTTCTGAGCAATTTTTTTTTTACAGTTATCAAACAATTTTTCAAATCTAGCACTTTTTTCTGACTGTATCACTCCATTAAATTTTCTGCTATATTGCATTACGAGGGTCGTTTAATATGTCTGTTGAGAGAAGTAGAAAAACATTTTTTTGGATTAAAAAAAATTCTGCATAATCTTCTTTCAACTCTACACATTCTACTAAGCGTTCTCCAATTTTCAATTTATTCTAGTCTGAAAACATTAAATAGTCAGTGGTGAACACGGTGGATGTTGGAATAATTGTGACTTTAATTCCATAATTTTGGCCATAGCAACTGCACCAGTGCCTTGTCTTGATAAAACAATATATTTTTCTTTTTCAGATGAGGATGTTTTTCCTTGATATCATTGCTCAGCCGTTTCAACAATGACGCTCAATACTTATCGTTGTTGCCTTTTCCAAATCGACTATTTTGATTCTTCTTTTATCACTTAAGTGTTGGAATGTATCCATGTTTCATCACCAGAAAGCATGGACTAAAAGCGAAAAGTATTTTGTACGTTTCGATTCGTTTTTATATTTTCGTTCGTTTTTTTTTTATATTTTTCGTAATAAAAGTATTTCAACATGCTTTCTTTTATTTATTTTTTTGTATTTGACGAATAATCATTTGCATATTTAATGATGGCATTTTTGCTTTTTATAAATATTAAAAACTTGAATTTTGAATGAATTATTTGGGACCGTTTCTGTATTGGAGAGGCACGAGTCTGTTTTAGTTTCATTTACTCCCATTAAATTTAGTTACTTGAAAACCATGCACTATGCACCATGCAGTTTAGTGGTATGGCAGTAACAGTTTTTTTTTGTGTTTTTTTTGCTTTATATTTTAAATATTAATATTTGTTTCGTTTCTCTCTGACCTTGCTTTTATTTGTAAATAAATTAATTATTATTATTAAAAATAAGAGAAAAAAATTGTTAATATATTTATTCTATAGCAAAAATACATATAAATAATTCCTCATTCTAAAATAAATAAAAATTTTAGTTAATTAAACTAAAGATATATTCTGAAGTAAATCACAGGATAATTATTAATTTTAGTGTATATGAATATATATAGAAATTAATTGTAACTATTTGATCTAAGAAGCAAGACATCTTCCAATAAATTTTCTTTTAAATTCAACCTTTGACAATTTAAAATATATTTCAACATTCACTTGTGTCATAGGTAAAGCAATAATTTGTTTTGCAGCGTTAAACAATTCATTTGATGACGTTTCTGTTGCTGCCCAATATTTTAAGACAGACGTATCTCGCTTTTCGCGCGGTTCTTCATAATAACGATCTAACAACTAACGAATATGTGCTATATTATGAGATTTTGAAGAAATATTTTCTTTTTGTTTTAAAAATTGCTCTATTTCATCTTCTTCTGTTGAAGTTGACTCTAGAGATGACTTCAACGACATTGTTACTTTCATTTATAGTTTTTAGAGCATTCCATACATAATCACATCTTGATTAAATAGTGCTTTTTTCCTTTCGTTTAGGGATTCCACTAAAATTGTTGGAAATCGCCTAAAAAATGTACTGTTTCCATTTTGCACTTCAGCCAGGTAGAATAAAAATCTCCAGCTAACAAGTGCGTTGATTAAAACATTACTGACCAATCATTTTGGCTTAAATACAGCTTTTGCAATGCTTCCGGCCATGTCTCTACAAAAGCATTTCCAACATATCATGGGTGCTGTGCCATCGTATCATACAATCTATAATAGGTTTCTTTTTCATTTCATTTTCTTTTTCTTCATTTTCTTGTTCTTGATTTTCTTGTTCTTTATATTCTTCTTCGTCACTGGTCTTATAATTGGATAAATCCAAATCAGTTTTGTTTAGAAAAGAACGTTCTACCACCCAGTGACTATTGCGTATATTGGGCATATTTTGGGGCTGTCAGGGAGGGTAGGGTATGCTCTGTTCTAAGTAGATTTTTTTAACATCTGAAACCCATTCTACTTGGTGTAATATCGTTTCATCTTTCTGATAGAAAACGCAATTTTTGGCAATAATGAAATATGAATATTATTGTATTTATATTAATGATATCTTTGACATTATATAAGGTTGTTCGGAAAGTCATTTCGTTTTTTCCCATCAGAGGACTTAATTACGTTTTTTCGAAACCAACTTCACACTTAAGCCGCATAACCATTACATGTCTTGAGAGCTGATATTGCAAGGCTTGTGTGTGAAAAAGTTCTATTAATTCTACGCAGTAGTTTTTGGTTGGTGCCCTTTTAAATATGGAGAGCAATAAGCAGCATTTTCGTCATATTTTACTTTTTTACTTCAGAAAAGGTAAAAATGCTGTCCAAGCGAGAAAAAAATTGACGCATGTGTATGGAGAAGGCGTGTTAACAGTACGCCAGTGCCAGAACTGGTTTGCAAAATTTCGATCCGGCAATTTTGATGTCGAAGATGCACCACGGTCTGGAAGGCCGGTCGAAGCTGACAAAGATGCGATAAAGGCATTAGTTGATGCAAATCGGCGAATAACCACACGAGAGATCGGTGAGAGATTAAATTTGTCGAATTCGACTGTTTATGGCCATTTGAAAGGCATGGGCTTAACCTCGAAGCTCGATGTGTGGGTGCCCCCTGTCCTTACGGAGCGAAATTTGTGTCGTCGCGTTGACGTGTGTGATTCGCTCCTCAAACGTCAAGAAAATGATCCATTTTTGAAGTGGATTATTACTGGGGATGAAAAATGGGTTGTATACAACAATGTTAAACGCAAGAGGTCATGGAGCAGAAAAGATGAACCGGCTCAAAGCGTGTCAAAAGCCAACATTCACCAAAAAAAGGTAATGCTCTCCGTTTGGTGGGATGTCAAAGGAATCGTTTTTTTTGAGCTTTTGAAGGACAATACAACGATTAATTCAGAAATCTATTGTCATCAACTGGACAAATTGAATGATTCACTTAAAGAGAAGAGGCCCGAATTAATCAACAGGAAGGGTGTAGTGTTCCACCAGGATAATGCGAGACCTCACACAAGTTTGGTCACTCGCCAAAAACTTTTACAGCTTGAATGGGACGTACTGCAACATCCACCATATTCTCCAGATCTGGCGCCTTCCGACTACTATTTGTTCCGGTCCCCGCAAAATTTTTTGGATGGCAAAACCTTTACCTCAAATGAAGATGTCAAAAACCACCTGAACCAGTTTTTTGCCAGCAAGGACCAAAACTTTTATGAGAGGGGAATTATGTTACTGCCAGAAATATGGCAAAAGGTGTTGGACCAGAATGGCCAATATATAATTTAATAAAATATTTATTCATTATACGAAAACTGTCTTTCATGTTCCCCAAAAAAAACGAAATGACTTTCCGAACAACCCAATAGATTTTTTTTATTTGGATTTGCTCTAAATATACTTTGTATGTTAACACAGTCAAATAAAAAAATTTTCTATTTGTCAGCTTTAAAGAAATTCACATCCTTGATTGTTTTTTATTTACCGAACGTTCTAAATACAACAGACATTTTCAGTCAATAAAAAAAAGGAATATTAAAAAACTGAAAAATTTACATGGGGCACTTTTAAACACCCTTCGGCAATTTGAAAGATCTCTCTTATTTTTTGTACTCTATAGTAAAATTAG